TTATATATATAAATTAATATAATATTTTATTTTAATATCTTTAAATATAATAAATTGAATAATTATGAGTGTCAACTTTTTCATTCTATTGAGTTATAATTACTAACATCAACTAAATGAGTGGAAAAGTAATTAAAATGAAATTAATTATTTTTCACAAATGAACTGGCAAGGTGGTAAATTTTAGTAAATAAAATTAAAATTATTCAAGTTTAAAATACAAGAATGTTTTGCCTACGTACGAAATGTTTATACTTGTCACCGTAAATTGAAAACTGCAATTGTGGCCAAAATCTCGTATTAATTGCATCGTCAAATAAACACGTTTAAGGCGTGTATATATAATTAATTTTATTTGAAAATTCTTTTTTTTTATTGATTTTTTTATTGAGTCACCAAAATCTTTTTACAGTAGGTGAAGTATTTACTTTTGGAATCTTAAGTTGCACTGCAGTTTTTATTTATTTTAATTACTTAATTACGCAGGCTGAGATTTGTGATCAAGAAGATAAAAAAAATATCTTAATTAAATCGATAAATAATTTATTTATTCTTACGTATGATAGAATAAGATATAATCAGAAAATTCCATAAACTTATTATTCTAAACTGATACGATTAACAGTGACGGCTCTACACACCTCATACCATCCGTCTGAATTGATAAGTTCCCGGGTTGCAATAAAACTTCTCAGCATGAAACATAAAACTGAAGTAAAAATACCTTTTAGCATTGAAAATGTCGCTACTACAAAAGTTTACTGAAGCTGATGTTTACTAACATTCAAGTAGAAGCTAGGTATATTATCCATCAATAAGCTGAAGAGTAGAACAATTCAAAATATTAAGGCTGAGGCACCATAATAACAACTGGTCATCCGTAAAAACTGCAACGGAGGTCTAATCAGGTCTTCTGTTTGTATCATACCAATTAGTTCTTTGGCCAATTACTTGTCTGGCCAATTAGTTGTCTGGTCAATTAGTAGCCTGGCAATAAATGCACAATATCTAAAATCTATTGTTTTTTCTTTCTATTCTTTATTTTTTTATCAGTAAATAAAAAAAATTATATTTTTGATTCAATATTGCTTAAAGTTATAAAGTATCTTAAAATTGGAAATATAATCTCTTTTAATTTCTTTCAGACACTATGGTATATCAAAATATTTAAAAAAATTCTAAATACAATATTTAATTTAATAAATTGATATGTCTACATTAACTTAATCATAATAAAGCTTCGGGTGGTCCTGAAATTTTCATTATTTTTATCTGAATTTTTTTTTATCTTGACTTGCATTTAATATAGAAAATGTATCAAATTAATTTTTTGCGTGAAGAAAAAACTCAAGTTTACCTTGAAAGTACACAGTCAAATATGTAAACACCTGGGGTAATGAAAAAAACGCGTGTATAAAATGGGCGCGGTAAACTCTAATGACACCTATGGATATCGTTCAGTTAATAAATTTATTGGCAAAATGTTAAAATATTTAAGATTGAAATTAAAAGATATTGATCGACTTAATATTTAAGATGTGTTGAAGGTTTTAAATTTAACTTTTTTTATTTTATTGTTTAAATAGTGACAAACGGTATATAATTGAAGTTTTTTTATAGTTGTGCTTATAAATTATTTATTTAAGTTATAGAGATTATAAAAAATTTATAATCTCTGATTATATTCACTTCTTTAAAATTTTTTTTCATCAACAATTATGCTTTTTATAACCTTAAAAAACTCAATTTAAATAGTTCTCAAAATATATTTATTAAATATGTATTTCAAGAGCATATAAACCTCATTCTGGAGTATTTTCAGAAATGGAAAATAAAAATCAATAATGAAAAAACTAAGGCTTTGTTTATAACGCGTAAGTGGAGACAGAATCCGTCGAGAGTGAGAGTGGGTGATATGGTGATAAACTGGGAGGATAGCGTTAAATATCTCGTCATCACGTTGGACAAACGTTTCACATGGCTTAAACATGTTCAACTGAAAAGAATTAGCTGTTCCAAAATTCTTCATTACCTCCAACCGCTATTTAGAAAAGAAAACCTCAATGCTAAGAACAGGAAACTGATATATAACCAAATAATTTGTCCGTCACTTCTATATGGTTGTGTAGCGTTTAGCAAAGCTTCAAACACTACTATTCACCAATTAGAAATTGCACAAATTCAGGCTCTAAGAAGACTTTTCAAAGTTCCTTGGTGCATTAGGACGAATGACATCCTTAGGGACCTCAAGATTGATCCCATCAAAAAATACATAAAGGATAGAGCCTTGAAATTATTTGCGAAATCTGACAGACTTACTAACACCGCATTATCAAATCTCAGAATGGTTACAGGCTCCTCGGGGAGGTATGCAGATCTGAGGTCAATTATTACTTAGTCTGATGATGAGATAAATAATAATCCAGTCAAGGCACAAAGAGGGGTTTTAAAGAAACCTCGCAGTTAATATAGAGTAAAAGTGCTCAGGTGCACTGACTCAACTTTCCTCAACATAATAATAATAATATTTCAAAGTTAATTATTAGGTTAAGCATTATTCATCTATCTCATGAGTTAATTTTAGATGTATATGTGACATAATTCCTTGAAATAGACATGAGTTTTTTATATATACTTCACTATACTTAAGATATACTTTATTGGAGTCGTTTGTGCCATAACATGCCACTTGTATTTTTAATCTACTTCGCGAATGTGAATATTGGATGAAAAAAGAGAAATCGCAAATGCTAGGAGGGATCTTGTTTGATTATAGCGTCATTATTATGAAAGGGTAAAATGCGAGAAATAAGTGCCAACACATCACTAAAGCAAAGTAGCAAAGTCCTCTAAAGAAAAACTGAAGTATCTGTGAGACTAGGCATATTGTTCTGCTTTAGATTAATTCCCTAGCCCAGTTAAAAAAAATTATGATTGTTTAAATTATAATTGTTGAATACCAGGCACGGTATGGAATCGAAAATGACATGAGGATAAAGAATGGAACAAGGACTAATCGTAGAAAATGGGGTGACTGTTAGCGCAAAGATCTCTAAAGATGAATTCTAGCAAGCGTGAAGTAAATTCAAAAAACAGAAGAATGGAAAGAAGTGTGAAACACGCTTCGGTTCTAAACTATATAGCTATGATGATAACGATGTATTTGTATGTGTAACACTTTAGATTGGATATATTAATGATCATATATAGACACTATCTACATTATGTAAAAAGATCTGAGATATGTTTAATGTGTATTCATAGATTCATACCAAAATTAATTGTTCTATGCATAATGATAAATTTTTTATTTGGGTATCAGTATTAAGAAACAAGAAATTTGTTATTCTCTTCAGATAAGTCATTGACATTGCATCACTTGAAAGCTGACATTCGCAGAATTATTGCCTATATATAGGCGCATATAACACTTTTCTTTATTGTCTATAAAGAAATTGAAAAGTAGACTAACAGTTTGCGTACCATTTGGGCAATCTGCGGTGCACAAATGGCTGATATCATTACAGATATTATTGCCATTATTTTTTCAAGAAAGTCAAACCAAAGTTTTGGGGTCTAAAGCCACAATTTATACTAAGTATATATATACTAAGTAATTCATTTCAATTCAAGGCCCTACGCTCCAATGGGAGACAGAGGAATTGATGATGATGATTCATTTCAATTATCAGAAAGAAATGCATCATGTTCCAATATGAAATTGATTATCCGCAAACTTATGAAATATCCGGAGTAATTCGTTTGTTCTTAAGAAAATCTAAATTCTTTTTTTTTCTACGAATGACCGTCTTAATGAAATTGTTAACACATGTTGAATTCGCTATGTGAGTTATATTTCAAAAAGTGCTTTGAATGCTGTCAATATGCATAGCTATTTTAGTCCGAGTTTTCGAATAAATCAGCACCTAACTGTCAGTGATAAATGGAATCGAAACGAACTTATGTCTTTTACTCGCTAAACACTAAAGCACATATTGCTCTCTAGTAATGCTGAACTTTTAAATTTCCTATGGCAGGTACCACTAAGTTATGTTCATCGAATTTCCTGTGCACAAAAGTGGTAGTTGCCAAAAAAACTCACATTTCCCATAGATTTCGAACAGTGCTTATTTTAGGCCTCTCCCTGCTCTGAATTTAATGTGTAATTTTTTCATTATTTATTTATTTTTGTTTTGAAAGTTCCTAAAGTTCAACCTCGTTTACGCTTTTACAGTTGTTGTTGTTGTATCTTTTTCCGAAATATTTTGCCTCATACATATTTATGATATTCCAGTGAACTGCTGCAACCCAAATTTTAATAGCAAAAAGGCAAAAACTATTTTATATGCCTGCCTCGACTGTTGTTATTGTCATGAGGTTTAATGTATCTTTACTGTGTCATGAGTGCAATTTTGGTGCAGTGCCTACGACCATTTGGTTTTGTAACCCAGAGCTGCGTTGTCATGGGAGCAATTTTGATAGTAAATAGTAGGCTATGAAAATATTGGAATTCTGTTAACTTTAATTTGCATTATTGGGCTTTTTGTTGTTGTCATAAAATTTAAGTGATTTTGAATTTATTATAAATATTTTAAATAATTTAAGTTTTCTTATAAAATTTAGTGTGAAAAAGTGAGAAAACCATTGCCCATTGTAAATTTATATTCTAGCCACGCATATAT